GTACATAATTGAAAATTTATTTTTATTTCCTTTGCAAAGGAGTCTAGAACAGATACTTAAAAATTCATTAATAACACACGAAAGAGCTTCATTTTATTCTAAAACTATTCTTTATAAATATATTTTATAACGGCCATTGAGCGAGTCTCGGAGTTTTCGTCTTCGTCCGAGACGAAAAAGCTACGACCCCTTAAAAAGACGGCACCGGATACAGAGGCGGGTAGCGTGCTGGTACTCTCTAGTAGTTTAAACAATAGGCCGTTTTGCTAAACTCGGTCGAACGATTTCTCAATGTCTAAAAAGACATCGATCACCGTCCGACCCTGATTGTAGTCGACCGCCAGGTGGTGCAGCACGGCATTCGCTCGGGAAGCGAATTGCTTGGCTATCCGTCTAAGCAGCAACCTCTCGAAAAGCTTGGATACGTACGCCGGCAGCGTGATGGGATGGTAGTTTCCTGGGAGACGTCTATATTTCCTTAGCTTGAGGAGGACAATAAATCTACCCAGTTTTTAGGATTTCTGAAAATGACCGTTCCGGAGTATTCCGTTGAAGAGCCTGATGAGCACGACCAGGCATCTCCTTAAGAACTGTATCAGTTCGTCGTTAGAAATTCCGTTAGGCCTCAGCGTCTTCTTTTTAGAAAGGCGCTCGAGAATCCTGAGCAATTCGGTGGGCGAAGTAAATTCGACACCGGCTAACGGCGGAGCTCATCCGATATTAGCGACTTACAACTAACTGCTTTAATGATTGACAGTAGATGACGCTAATAAGCAACACTAAGCCGTATCTAAATATAATTTCCAAAAACACGATTTACAAAAAAAAAACCGAGCTAAGTACAGTTATCCAGACACTGAATATTAACCCTAGAACTGTGGGGGGAAAGGGATTGTTAGTAATGAGGTCTAATAGCCGCATTGCTAGCAATACGAGTATACCCTATCAGGTCGGCCTCCACGCGATTCCCCCTGGAGACCATCATGATTAGTTCTTGGCGAAATCAACATGGTGGGCCAACTGACCTGCATTCATTCTCACCTATCATCTTCCACTGGTGCTCCGCCAGCGTATACCGTTAGCGCAGGCGGGGTTACCATTCCATTATCATCCATTAAAAAAACCCTAGAACTGGTAGCGGAGAAGGGATTGTTAATAATGGGATCTAACAGCCCCATTACTATTAATATACCCTATCAGGTCGACCTCCACATGGTTCCCCCTGGAAACCATCGTGGTTAATTCTTGTGAAATTATCACGATGGGCTAACTAACTTGCTTTCATCCTCATCTGTCATCTATTACTGGTGCCCGCCAGCGTATACCGATAGCGCAGGCGGGGTAACCATTCCATTATCATCCATAAAAAACCCTAGAACTGGGGGAGAGGGATTGTTAGCAATGGAATTTGACAACCCTGTTGCCGGGCCGGGCCGGGTCTGTATCTATAACATATACGGATTATCCGATATCAATTTTGAATGCAATCGGTCACATAACAAAGAATATATAAAATGGCAGACATTTTTATTAATTCGGACACAGTATCCATATTTAAAATATACAATGTATTTTCAGACTTCAATTTTGAACGCAATCGGTCAAATAACCAAGATCCTTTGGATAATTATATAATATATAGACAATTTAAAATCTCTTTTTGTCTTCGCTCGAGAACGAGCATAATTGTGTCATAATAAGTAATTTATTTCAATATAAATAATATTAAATAGTCTGCATAATAAACAATAATATCTCTACAGACATACCTACATTTTTTTATACCACTGAGGTAACATACGGCCCACCTGATGGTAAGTGGTTGCCGTAGTCTATGAATGCCTGCAATACCAGGGGTATTACGCGCGCGATGCCGATCCTGAAGAAACCTCTTTACCCTCTTCTTTAAGAACCCCATGTTGTATTTTCTTAGCAAAACCTCTGTAGGAAGCTTATTCCATAACCTGTGTGTTCATGAGAGAATACATTACTGAAACCGCGTTGTACGCGACCATTTAGCCTGTAGAATATGAGGGTGAACTCCGTATCGATGGCGAGCCGTACAATGACAGAAAGTCGCCGTGGATATCATATTAAACAATTCCTCTGAGAATAATCCGTTATACGGGTTACCGCTTGTAAGCCTGGGATCATCGACAATTCTCATAGCTCGTCGTTGCACCGAGTCGAAGGGTTCAAGCTGGTATTTAGGTGCTCCCGCCCATAAGTGACAGCAATACTCCATGTGGGGCCGGATTTGTTTTATTACGAGTATATTGATTTATTATATTTATATTGATAAGAATATAACATACATTACAGCATATAGCATTACAAATAATAATAAAGAATATTTCAATTCTTATTTAAAAAATAAGCACCTGATTTTAAGAATTTTAATTCAATTGTGGTAATTTTTTTCGGATACTTGCAACACTGAAATTGACGCGAATTCTTTTAAAAGATGTGTCTATATTTATATTTGTACTTATATATGTATAATATTATATGTACAAATGATTCTTTTATTGCTTCTATTTTGTTTCCTATGTTTTGCATATTTTTAATGCATAAAACTTATTTTATTTATTAAATAATTAACTATAGATACATCATGATTCGTTGTATAATTATATATTACATATAATTATATATTATATACGTTGTGTGTGTAATTATATATAGAATTGTAATAAAAAAACAGGTCAATAAATAAAAAAAACACAATTTTTAGACTCGATGTTCTATCTATTTATTCTAAGATTTAATCTTTTAATAGATATTAGTGCTACATTTGGCCAATAGATGACGTTCTCGAAATTTAGAATGCGATATAATGTTGTTCTAAGAGAAAAATATAAAGATCCTAACACGGCGCTTCTTTGGTGTTACTTCCGACAAACCGAATTTTTTTATGACACGTCATAACGTAACACTTATGACAGTTGTCACATTTAAAAAAAAAACCTTCATATTATATATATTCGCTTTACATCGATATATGAAACTATACACTTTAAACTAACTTTTATCTATTTTTAAGCTCTGTATTTTTTAGTTATGAGCCAAAATGTGAGAAAAAAAACCATTCTACCCTCTTATCCATGAGGGTTATGAAACAAAAATCTAAAACAATTACAGTTTATAAATATTATATAATATTAAAAATTTGTAATGTATAAAATATTATAGGAAAAATAAAATTAAGTTTCTAACTAGCACCGTTTCAGAGAAATTAAAAAAAAAGAAACCTCCAAAAACAAAATTTAATTGTCGAGTTTCTAGCTACATTTACAGCGTCAATTTAGAAATAATAATTTAAATAACAGTAATCTATATTTAATACGTAAAGCAAAAACTTTGTACTTCTTTTTACGAAAATTACGCGGACGGGGAAACATTAAATTATAGTTTACATAGAGGATACTAAAACATTTTTAAAATCTATAATATAAAAATGAATCACTGAATGTATTGCTAAGCATAAATCTTCAGAACAGCAGAACCGATTTCGCTAATTCTTTTTTAGAATATTCCTTGAAGTACAAGGATGGTTCTTACGGAGAGAAAAATTTTAAAAATTGCTTGAAAACGTTTAAAGACAACACATTTCTATACTCCCATACAAACAATTCGTAATCTATATTTATAATAAATCTGTAGAGAGGTCAATTCTGTACATGAAATATATTTCCAAAATAATAACTATCAGGGGGTGATTAGTGATCGATACTGATGCCAAAAATGCAATCAGTAAAATTTTTGTTTGTTTGTCTGTATGTTCATTATAGAAACAAAAACTATTCGACGGATTTTAACGAAACTTAGTACAATTATTCTTCATACTTCCGGACAGGTTATAGTATACTTTTAATCACGCTACGATCAATAGAAGCAGAGCAGTGAAGGGAAATGTGTCTATTACATTAAAACCACTGAACCGTGAGAAAGGACATAGGCTACTTATTTTACGAAAAACGACGGAAACGCGGACGAAATCGTTGGCAACAGCTAGTAATACTTAAAAGTCAATTAGAACTTTACTATCATACCATTAAGTTCAAGTGTTAGTGAAGAGGTTCTGGGAAGGTAATACAATTGAGTGACGTTAGTATCGTATAAATCTAGCTGACTCAGCGTCCCGAATAGCAGAATAAATATTAAAAAAAAACTAAAATATTTAAGAATCGATTATTAGGCGGTACGAAATTCGCGGGGTCAGCTAGTAACGCATAAAAATACATTAAATCAATTAAAAAAAAGAAAACACACGCACACACATATATATATATATATACTCTTTTGTTTATTGTTAGTCTATGGTCGAATCGAGAATAGATTTATATTGTTTGTCTTTAATATTATATGTTTATAGTCTTATTGAAGGTCAAACATAATCGTAAAAATTCGATTATTTTAATATATGTAATGGTTGTATTTCAACCACTGAACGACCACAAGTAATAATTATTAGGTTTCTTATTTATATAAAAAATGCAATAAGGAGGTAATTATTCATATTCTATCATATATATATATATATATATATATATATATATATATATATATATATACTTAATATTAATTTTTATATAGATTTTTAGCATCATATTTAACCACAAAAATGGGGTTGTTAAAATTTAGATTACAATATAATATTCTTACAATGTAAATGTCCTAGCTATTATATATTTAAAACTTACTCGAGTACACATTATTTAATTTATAATAAATAACGTTATTTTTTAAATAAATTAAACAATCTATGTATTCGCAAATTAATAACCAATTCAACCTATCAAACTACTTTAGGATTTAGATCTTTGTTATGACTTCTCTAAAAATATGAGCATGGAATTTAAATGAAAAAGAAATTAATTATTGCGACTTTAAAGACCATATGCCTAATAGAATAGTACAAGTATATCATTAGGCTGCAACACGAGCGAACGCTGTTACTTTTAATAACTAATAAATAAAACTTAAATATAGATACATACCGTCATGAGAGTCGTACATATATATAATCTCCTTCCATCCATAGAAGACGATTGTATCCACAATAGCTCTATGGTAATCCGGTCTCATGCTTACAGCGTGATCGATCAACCCAGATGACGGTGGAATCACCTGTGGACATGTGATAGATGTAGTAAATATCGGAATATTGACTAAAATACTCGTATACAGATAGACTAGCTGTGTATTCGACTTCATCCATGTGACCTGAATATGTTAACAGACCAGGGCAAAAAGTAGCCAATGTCCTTCTCCGTGCAAACTACTATATCTATCTATACCAAATTTCATGACGTTTGGTTCAGTCATTATGAAATTTGAAACAAACACTTTCTTATAATCATTATTAAGATATATAATTTTCTTGGTCTCAAGTTTTACATATAAAGTATCAAATTCCATAATCGCTTCATCACCTTCATCATATCAGACGTAAACTACTACTACACTACCGGAAAAAAAGTCGAATTATTATTCATTACAATAATAAAAATGAATAATATAATTATTAATTTCAAGTAAAAAAACTTTTTTTTGCTATATATAATATGATGTTTTTATCGTTCAGTCAGGGTATTAACGCGTTAATATAGCCTTGTTGAATAACACTAACGAGTGCAACGAAGCTAAGTAATTGCTCCGCGTAATATTTAATTTCATAACAGTATTAAATTGTAAAGTAGGTCTGCAATATTTTTATAGAGGAAATATTATTAATCAAACATCTATATAAATATATATTATTATTAATATGTTACCTATATCTAATGCTTTGTCTACGTTTAACATTCTTCTTTTCCTTCCTTCAATGCAGAATGAATGATGATGAATGATCAAGAAATTGTGACACTACACTACATTGTGACACTATTTACAGTAATATATATAGTGTTAGTAGTAATATATATATCTTAGGACTTATCACCATGAGTTAATAAATTTAATTTGATTTTATAAAAACCAAAAAGTAAGGTTTGGTTTGGTAAAAAACCTAAAATCAATCTATTTATTTTATATTGTTACATTTATCAATTCCTGTTTGTAAAACCTAAAATCTACTGATAAAACCTAAGACTCGCTAATGTACGGGCTACAGTAACATCATTAGATCTTCATAGACTTCATTCGTGTTTGATTGAGATTGATGACATAGAATTATTATCAATATTATTATTTCAGCCATTAATTATCCACTGCTGAATATAAGCCTAAGGACATAAGTTTTGCCAGTAGTTGCCACCCTTGACAACCAGTAAGCTGGTTGTCAAGGGTCAACCACCCTGTAAGTTTTAAGGATGCTTTAAGAGGGACATTGCTGCCCATCCTTCGTCCTTCTTTAGTCGCCTCTTATGACACCTACGGGAAACGAAGGGATGGCCCATTCTATGCCGAAGCACATACGGCGAGATAAATTACTATCAATAACTTTCGATTAATTATAGGTATTTAAAAATAGTTACCCCTTAGTTTCCTTCATAAACATAAAAAAAGCTGCATAATTTTATGTTTGAATTAAAAAAAAATGACACTGAAGCTACAATTTGATCTTGACATTAAAAGCAAAGTGACCAAGTAAAAAAGTAACTACAGTAAATAACAGTCAAGTAAGCCTTTTATACTTCCAAGGTATATTAAAGTTCAATAGATATATAAACACTCTTTGTAGTTAGAGATGCAGTAGAAGTATTTTCAAAAATAAATATACGGAAAGTAGTATCAGCAGTAATAGCAGTATCATTAACTAATGTAAATTAGGAGTAATAATTGTGAGCAAAATCTCACCAACTGTACAATTCTGTGAAGCAAAGAACGACGAATTGTCAAAAGCGAAAATTTCCCTAACGAAAGTGATCCTCTCATAATACGAGAGTACCTACTTTGAAACGTATCTAATAGTAATAAATGGATTTTGTCGGAACCAAGGGTAGAAATTGAACCAAAGTAATGACCGTCAGTAAAATCCAACAGACTCTCGACTTTGCTATTGTGCGTCCATTTATATACATCAAAGATACGACAGTCCAGAACAAAGCGTTTCAACGGATGTTACAAAAACACCCCAGACTATTTTACTTTCGACCGAATAATATTTAAGTGGTAGTGGAACGAAAGAGATGGAAAGTTCTAAATAAATCCTATACCGAACCACCTGGCCAAGATAACAATGAGTTAATATTATATTCTTTAGGTATGAGATGCGTACCAGCAAACGGTAAGTTAGGTAGTGTAGCTACTTCTTTATTTAAGTTAGAATCTAAGTTTAATATGTACGTTATTTTTATATATACCTATACATATATATAGAACAATTAACGGAACTAATCAGAGTACAGATGCAAGCGATCAGATTGATTAAAGGGCCAGCTAATCCATTCAATTTAGTAATACTCATTTCATTTATAATTCAGCAGCCAATTCCAATATATTAAATGTTTCTGTAGTTTGGGAATATCGATGTGTTTGGATTGAATCTAGTTTAACAAAATCTTCACGAAACGAGATTATATTATTAATACTTATTAAGAATATAGGAATACTTTGTAAAGAATTAATTATATATTTAAGCTCCGTGTATATGCATTTTTATACTATAAAATGAAAAAAGAAAGTAATATAACTCTAAAAATACTTTAAAAATACTATAATTTGAAATATTAATTGGTAAGATTCTGAAAATTCATATCCTATACATGTCTACTTGTAGATACGTTTTCGTCGTGTACGGAAAAGAACTTAATTTCCACGTTCAACGTCACTATATTATACACACTGCAGCAATAATGTATCTAACGAGAACATGATAAAATAAAAATTATTAGCTTTCCTAGAGAAGTTGTTTAGAAGGCTGATTATTTTTATATTTCATTATAGTCGTAGAATACTGACGGATCTGTATATGTAATATTTGTCAGATCCGTCAGTATTCTACGACTATGACGATTTACACTAGGTCTTTGTAGGTTTACTTCAATTGTGCCAATGTAATTGTGATTTAATTATCCCTTTTTTGGCTGAATTGAGTCTAAGTAAAGACCATTATTCTTAATATAGTGTAGATTCATTGTACGGACGATAATAGATGCCTACCTATAATTAAATTTGGTCAAAAACGTGGATTTAGTTTCCTTTTACTTTACCCATTTTCTTATCTCAAAGTAAATCTTTATTTTTTTTTTAATACTGGCGCACAAAATTTAAATGTAGTATAAAAACTTAATTAAATTTATACAGGAACTGAATGTGAGATTTTTATTTTCTTAGCACTTTAGTATCTAAATCAAATATTTAAAAAATTGGTAATATATAGTACAACATAAGTAATTTTTTATCATGGTCAAACAATATAACCAACTCATGCGGACAAAGTTGCAGGCAGACTAATACGTATTTAATAAAAAAGATAATAGTGTGTTAAATAACAATAATAGATATTTTGCTAAATACAATAAGAAGAACTAAAGAAGCTAAAAATAATTTTTAAAAGAACAAATAATCAATCTTTGTTCTAGATCGAACAGGAATCAGGTGGATTAGGAGCATTCTTTATACCATAAAGACTTGATTGACTTGATTTCTGTTCGATCAAATTCATATTCTATTTGCATGAAAGATTGCATTAAACAGATATTGTAAGAACTAAGAAAATCCTTTTTCACAATCAGTGTTAGGTGTTACCGTAAAATACATAATACAAAATTAACAAGAGCGATAAAAAAATTACGAAAGATTTAGTCTATTGTTCTCCGACTTGAAATAAAAAGTCAATCAGCGGAATGGGTGTTTCCTTTTTGAGGATTAGCCGGCGAAAATAAATAAATGTAAAAGTATTGTTACAGATGGTTTCTTCCTTTTTAGTCAGGATTTTCTCCGGATACATACCTATTTTGCTTGAATATAAAATAACAGTAATAGCTCGTTATATTGAAATATTTTACAAAATACAACGAACCAAAGGTCTTATTCTTATTCACAATATTATTTTGAAACTACTGCAATACTTTATAAATATTACATATATTTTATTATAATATAATATCATCATCGTTACCATCATCGCTACTCCTACAACAACCTTTCTACTGTTCATTTCAATATAGGCCTCCATCCCTCATTAATGACAAAGTACAATTTTGCGTGTAGTACTCTTGAGATCGTAACATTAAATTGTTGGGATCGCTCAAGTCTATACGTACCTACACGGGGTCGCTATTCGAGAACCCTGTTTCATCAGTTATCGTCAGTCACCTAAGTTCTTTTGCGAATTGCCACGAACACATCCCTTTGTATAGTTTACTGAACGACTTGAATCTTTCTCATATGACTAATATATGACTAATGGGTGTGGCCACGCTTCTGGTTAAAGACTTGCGTCTACAGATTTTGTGGTAATTTGGATAAAAAATGTGGGGCAGTTTCCCGAACACTGATCAACCGAATGAGATTCGTGGACAGACCTCTCGGTCAAAATTTGATTTACCCAGTAAGCTATGTTGCCCCAGGTTTATTAATCAACAACATCCAGCATAGTACTTCCAACTACAACCAATATCAGTAAGATTTCAGATATTACCTTAGTTTCCGCTATGTCCATCTTAGTTAAGCATAGTGTTCAAGTCTTTGATTCCGCCTTGATTATTATATTGTCAAAATTGCAAATCACGGTTAGTGTTGTATTCGCTATTTATGATTGTACTATATCTTTCCAAAAAGAAAAAGAAGTCCGAAAATGTTTTCCAGTGCAGTGGTGAAAAAATTATACTCTTTTATAAATACATAATGTACAATATTTATCTCTCGTTATTCTTTGTCTACCCCACTATAAATTTGGACGAAATATAGATAGTTATTCTATTTAAAAAAAATAGGTAATGTTAAGATATACAAGTATGACTTAATATTATGAATTTCAAGCAGTGTTTTCTCTACAGGCAGACGTAGTATATGTGAACATTCTATTAAATATTAGAGATACTAGTTTTGCAAAAAGTTACTGGATATGTGTGCTTTAAATTGCTTATGGCAAAGTATTCAGCAATGGACAATGGACGGCTGAAATATGTTGGAAAGAGAAGCTTTAAAAACCGTTACAAATACTATTTCAATAAGTTTATTGACGAATGCACTGAGGAAGGAAATAAGAGTAATTGTATAAGCATGAGATACACGATAAAAGTAGATGCACTAAGAATAGATGCCTTTGGCACTGTGTTATCTTTATTTATAAGGGGTTTGTTTTAAAAAAGAAAAAGACATATAAACAAATTTCTTACCTTTTCTGGAAACCACGGTGTCACAAATGGCATCTGGAAGGTATTAGTGTACGAATGAAGGGTGTCGAAAGACTCGGGAGTGACTGCACCGAGCATTGCAAACACACCGCGTGCGAATTGGTTGCATACTGTAAAAAAAATTCTAAGTTAGACCAATTCTTAGCATACTCATACGAAATTTTCTATTTGGTATTGATGATATTATACGAGTATTATGCAGGGGATCGAAGTAATTATCACTTTTCAATGGTCGTAGTCGCATAATACAAATATTATTCATAAATATGTCAAATGTACGCTCTAGTTATATATTTACTCAATGATGATGATCATCATATCAGACATTGTCTGTCCAATGCTGAACATAGGCCTCTCACTATTGAAAGGCTTTGCTAATAGTGCCACGCTTGCCAGGCGAGTTGGCAACCGCAGTTAGGTTTTTGGTGATGTTGTAAGACAGGCACTGCTGCCCATTCCTCGACTATTAAGCCACATAAATATTCAACAATATTACTCGCCGAGAGACCTATAATTAAAATTAAAACACTGCCTTTTATTTCAGTAATGATTAAAATTTTAAATTTAGTAGTTAATTACTAATAGCGACTCCAGGAATATCTAAAGAACCCTTTTAAATTTAATAAATAACACGACTAACAAAAGAAAAGCGACATCAATGATGCATAAATCATTGACTTAATTCTCAATTTTATATAACTTCCATTAGAATAATAGTTAAATTGTATCAGGTAAGTAAGTACCTTAATCAGATTTATGTTCAAGTAATACTAGCTTTGTTATCTGTGAAAACAAATTTAATTTTAATATATTATAAAACAAACTGTTTGTAAAATAATTTGCATTTTGAAAACATTTTTACTCAATTGAATTAAAAGGATTGAACGAAATTTAACCCTCTTGATACCCTGGTAGATTATTAGTCTATCCCGATTCACGCAAACAAAGATGCAAGATTTAGCTAATTTTAATTAAACTTAAAACGATAATATATAAAATACTGACACTAATATTAACCAGAGAGAGAAAAGTCGTCTGTCCCACTCCTGTTTCTGCCATGACGCAGATATGCTCACATGGCTGTATTTGATTTGAAAGGTGATACAGAGGCATTAAAACTTAGTCCCTAGAACTGGCAATGCATGAGGGGTATCGTGGGTGTAGGTATATACTTACATTATTCTTATATCTTTATATACATACATAATACAAAACAAACAATCACACATATACATCCACTTTCATTGTGTTCTGAAAAACTATTCAGGATAATGCCTACAGCCACCTTTTACCATCATACCACTCGCTATCGGCAGGGAATTCATTCACACATCTTAGAACCAGAATAGTCACGCACAATGCGGTTTTAAAGGAGCTTCCTCCCGCGAACACTCAGGTTGTAGAATGATCTTCCTGCCGAGGCTTTCCTTAAAGACTACAACATGAGATTCTTCATAAAGAGTGTATTAAGGTTTCTTAAAGGTCAGCAACGCGCGCGTGACACCTCTGGTGCTACAGGCTTTCTTAGGCGTCAGACAGGCAGTATGCTTATTTGTCACCATAAGAGTATGAAAAAAATATTAATAATAAGTATTTAATTCACGAGCATAGCCAGGCGAAACCCGTAGTACGCGGCCGTATACATTGTAATCGAAGCTACTACTTATTGCAAATTATGATGCGCTCGCGCCGCTGTGCTTTACCCGCTACCGCGCGGTCACGAGCAGTCGCGTTTCAAACGAAACTTGTATCCATTATATGTGCCTCGAATTTATTACAATTAATAGTAATTATAATAGTTATAAAATTTTCTAAATCTTTTATATTACCCACCTCATAATGGGTATCACAGTATACACTCTGTTTATAATGTCCATGTGTTCCATGATGTTGTAGTAACTGTCGCTTATTTATAAGTTATCATTTTCCATCAGGAGGGCTGTTAGCTTATTTGCATTTATATTATAAAACAATGATAACAATGTATTTAAAAATACAATATATTCAAATACTACTAAGCAGAGCAGTTAAATAAACTTAAGCATCTTTAGAATTTATGCATATTATTCATACTTGGACTTCATAAACATGACCATGTATCCCAATATCGTACACGGCTCAAGTAGCTCTCTATACGTCTTCATCGTAACTGATATATCCTTTCCCTTTCTTTATTCAATTCTTTTTAATTTAGCTACACCCAATCATTTAAAATAACGTTTTATACTTTTTTGGGAGAACAATTCTTGTTCTTTACGTAGTACTGACAACCTCTGTCTCAAAATTTCCATCCATTCTTCTTCTCTCTACTCCAAACATTCAATCTCTGGCTATTTGCCGTATGCTCCCGGTATAGAATAGGCCATACCTTGCTTTCCCGTGATGTCGTAAGTGGTGACTAAGAGAACTTAATGGTCAGCAGCGTCTTTTTTAAACATCTTTAAAAGCCTAACTGCGGTTGCCAACACGGCTGCCAAGCGTGGCAACTACTGGCAAAACTCCCCTTATGGGGAAGGCTTATGTTCAGCAATGGACAGTTAATGGTTGAAATAATGTATATTAATACTTTTTTAATGTGAAATGAATGAAAGCGAATATATGTGTGTCGATTGTTTTATATATATATATATATATATATATATATATATATATATATATATATATATATATATATATATATATATATATATATATATATATATATATATATATATATATATATATATATATATATATATATATATATATATATAATGCGCTATCTACTTTAATTCCTTCCTTCTACCCAAAGGTTATCTAGAAGAGATTGATTAGCAATAACACCGCCTTTTGAATTGCACTATGCTTATTGCATTGCATCTTTCAACAAATTAACTATCCTTCAATAAGTTTTGTAATATTATGTAAATATAGATAATAAAATGTCAAATAAATTAGTATACGCTCGTAGATGTACTAGATAACTAATCTTATCGTATTAGTTTTTAGCGAGTGCTTTCTAATAAAATACATTTTATTATAATAATAGCGTTTTTAATTTAGTTGTCAGCATTAAAAAATTCAAAGACGAAGACGGATTAAATGAGACAATTCACTTTATTTTCAAGTTCATTAAATTTAGCTCCACTGACAGGCTTTTAAGGTAATTGCGTTAGGGCGCAGTCATAATAGCAACTGTGTAGCAGTAATGAAAGACAAAAAGCAATACTGCGATGAGTTTTGTAGTTAACCTACATATTTTATGTGTCATAACATACAGACAGATTTGATTAAATTGTATTATATGTAAAATATTTTTTTTACTTATTATTATTTCATCAGTGTGTTTTGCTTATAAAATTTATTCCATTCGCAGTTTCATTTATTGTTTTAATTTTAACATATAATAATTTTAATGAATAAAAGTGTTATACTTATATTTTGTTTATTTATTAAAAAATGTTTATTATACATATATGTTATTAAAACTAATAATATATTTTTATTAAATATAAAATATAATAATAATAAACAATTTCATTACTAACATTCAAATCGAAATATCATAATACTTATACTTGTTTGAAAAAAAAATGCTTGTTAATGTGAAGTTAGCCTTAGGGCACGAATCGAATGAAATTTTCTAGTGATACAGCGTGTCTCCTTAGAGATACTATATCTGCAATATACTAAAAAAATATGATTTAATGTCCCAGATTTGAATTGATAAAGCTGCCAAATTAAAGTAATCAAGTAGGTATAATAAAAAATCGGTATTGTTACTTGTTGTGTTTAAATTTACACTCAAAATTCAAATTTAAATTATTTTTATTCAAATAATCCTGTTTACTAACACTTAAATCCTCATTTTTTTATGTATGCAGGGTTCGAAAAGTTGTTATCTGCTGAAAAGAATTCGCAGAAATTCAAAAGTTACTCTTTTAAAATCTCTGTTATTTGTATATACATTATGTGTATTTATTTAAATGTATTATGTTTACAATTACTGGCCATTAAGAGCCCTTGCGTGATCGACTGGGCGTGGCTATTTATAATTCAAATAATCGCTTAGTGTTTAATAGGCATTGTTGAATAAGTATTTTAAATATTTTTTTTTAATTTATTAAAAGGTAGATCAAAAATATCCTTCGACATCTTATTATAATATTTAATGACTTCCACATAAGATCTATTAACTTTTTGTATAGTTATATATTTATTATAATTGTAAAAATTTATTATTGAATTACTTCTAAACTAATTTTAATAACTTAGCAGTTAATAACTAAATTAACATCATATAATCATCATCATCGTCTCAGCCATTATCTGTCCACTGCTGAACGTAGGCTTCCCCCATAGACTGCCAAAAGGAGCATCATATAATTACACCTTTTTGCATTTGCTGTTTGATAACAATTGTTTGTACAAAAGTCGATTGCTTGGGTACCTCTGTCCCATTCGTGTTTCAATCGTAAGTAGTGTATCGTAGTGTTTGCATGGCTGTGTTTCGGTTTGAAGGGTGGGATATGGCGTGAATTTACTGGGTACAGAGGAATAACACCTGAGTCCTCAGGAATGGCAACGCATGGGGGTATCATGGACGAAACAATTATATTATGTCCATGGTACTGCTTATATCTATAGGCGACGGTTACCACTTTCCATCAGGTGGGCCGTCAGCTTGTTTGCCATTCTAAGTTGTATAAAAAAAAAGCTCATTCTGGATTTTTTGTTCGATCAACTCAAATAAATTAAGAAATAAATAATTTTTAATATAGGTTCCTTTTATGACAGAATGAATTCTAAGTAGCTATAGTTTTATTCTAAATAGCCATAGTTTACTTGTTGTTGTTCAATTATTCAAAATATGTGTTGTACTTTTATGCAATAACCTTTAAATTTCCTTTTGGTAGTATGCATAAAATGCATAATAATTACTTGCTTCATAAATATAAAGTAAGCAATTTTGAGCAAAGAAACGCATAATAAGTACCTTCAAGAACTTTACATGTATATTAGTAGGATATACAATAATTTTATATTCTGTACTAAGCACTGAACAAGTTATAACAAATTACTTCATCAAAAAAAAAATTTTTAAGGATTTTTATAATTATCTCAGCTATTA